GTCGACAGATAACGACACTGGCTCATCAAAAACCTGCTGGCTGACTGTGGTGGATGTGGATGGAGGGGATGAGTCATGAGCTGCGCCTCACGGGGACGGAAGAAGATTATTGGCATTGCTAACTGGCCATCAGTGGTGTCATAAAGTACGACCTGCTGGGTGGGCGCCACGCACACCTGTCGGACCATTATGTCTGCTAGGAGTTAGAGGAGGGAGGAGTTGAACTTAGTAAGAAATTATGGAATAATTGAGTAATGAATTGAGCAAGACTGAATGGTTATGAAGAATAACAACAAAAGAATTTTGTTACCTTGCAGGAATGATCAAAATGAAAGGGTTGATGATGATGATGATGATGGTAGTCACACTGATAGTGACGATGGCGGAAGCTGGGGAAGCACAGCCGAAACACCATTTTAAAAGACAGTGAAGTAATAATAACCAGGTCTAAATGGTTGATCACATTCGTGATAGATTTGAAACCATACGAGTCGCTACTAAATAAGCTAAGAAATGAGCTAACGCAGCTGGATGCAGCCCGGTTGAATGTAGGACAAGATTATCCCAAGGAAAAAAGGGTATCTTAGTTTATTACACTCCCTAGAATCAGAGGCCTATGATAGAGGCTCAATGGAGGACATGCAAAAATTACCTGAAGGGAATAGAGTTACTGCAGACGCGGAAAAGAGATCAGTAGTTCCGATTGTGGGGAAAAGCGTTAAGTGTCCTGTTTGGAACAGTGACTGAAAATGACGTTAAATTTATAAGAAGGAAACTGGGAGAAGTGGAAGTAAACCAGATGACGCTTGCTCAAGTGGCAAGGAGAGTGTGACAATATTAAATGTGACAGGTTAAAAGTGGCCAAAAATAGAGCCAGAATCAATTGGTTAATAGATAACCTGGCAGGGTTGAGACAAGAGGTAATTAATGATACAGAAACTGTAATGATCGAATTACAGGAAATGAGCGGATTCATGCAAAAATATTTCCAACTGATGACAATTATGAATAAGGTGCGACAAACTAGTCAGTCGTTGACGACCTTGCTGGAACATGTGAGGCGCAATTAGACATGCTGTCATTGGGACATCTCCCCTAAGCATAGTAAACCCGAGTCACCTAAAGGGAAGAGCTACTCGGAATACAGGCCGAGTTACCCCCCATTTAAGGCTACAGTGGGCCCCACCAAAAAGAAATTGTGGAAATATTATAATGCACTGGGATGTGTGACCTTGATTTGGAAAATAGACGACTATTGGTTGTGATATCTGTTTCTGGTGTTAGATAGAGAGAGTATATTCGAGATATACCAGGTTATAAATTTGCCCATTCCCCCAGTAGAGATCAAGGTTTGGGAATGATAGCAAGGTACAAGGTGGAAACAGAATACATAGCGTTAAATTCGGGAGAACAAAAATTCATGTTGCTAACAGCCGAAGAAGCTAGAAAGTGTAGAAATGATGCTCTAGGGACTTGTACCTCGTTAAGCCCTATCTATATAGCTGGTAACCGCAAAATGTGCATACTAGAATTGTTTCAAGGGAAGAGAGGAATTAAGAGAATCTTGCCAAGTGGAGGTATTAGCAAACACGGCATTACCACAAGCTATCAGTGTTCAGACAGGGGTGGGCATTGGCTACACAGAAACCTATCAGTTTGTCTAGGGTATGTGGGGGAGAGTCCACAAGGACATTAAGAAGTAAGGCCACCATTATCCCTGTTAAAGTTACCATGGGATGCTCGGCATTTGGGATATCTATTTCCTTACCCACTATTACCATGAAGAAGAAAGATATGAAGGGAAACATTCAATCATAGAAATGATTGGCAAAGGCTTATCAATTGTACAGAATTGTGGGAGCCAATAGTGAAGGGATTCTCCAATGTTACCTGAATAAAATGCCAGTAATTAATGAAGCCGATAGAAAGATCGATATGGATCAATTGAGGGACAAGTTAAAGTACGTTGGGAAATGAAGGTATGGCTTGGGAAGACGATGAGCAGATCGCGATAAGTTGGTCGGTAGTGATGGGTACATTCATAGTTATAGCCATCGGGGGTATAGTAATATGGAAGATTAAGATTAAGGAGATTAACGAACGATAATCAAATGAGCATGCAGCAACTCGAGACGGACATGCCGAGCAGTGTTCCTTACTCATACAGAATCGGCGAAGAGATTGCAGAAAGAGCGGCGGAGGAGGCTGGCGTGAGAACGCCACGTGCGGCGGAAAAACCTCCCACAGCGGAGAGCAAAATATTGACCAAGAAGAACAAGACATAGTAACCAAATATGCACCCACAGGTACACGCACACATTACATTACATATAGAATAGAAGAACTTGAAAAGGAACGTTACATTGCATGTAGAACCGAAGAACTTGAAAAAGAACATAACACTTGCATGTAGAAAAGAAGAACATGAAAAAGAACATTAGATAGATAGATAGATATTAAAAGGAGTCATAAAGGTAGAGAGATACATAGATGAATAGTAAAAGGATTAGATAGATAGATAGATAGATAGATAGATAGATAGATAGATAGATAGATATTAAAAGGCCTGCTATAGATAGAGAGATAGTAATATAGATATTAAAATGACTGTGGGAGATAGATAGATAGATAGATAGATAGATAGATATTAAATGTACTGAGATAAATAGATAGATATATAGATAGATACATAATAAAAGGACAGAGATAGATAGATAGATAGATATTAAAAGGGCTAGGATAGATAGATAGATATTAAACAGACTGAGATAGATAGATAGATAGATAGATAGATAGATAGATAGATAGATAGATAGATAGATAGATATTAAAAGGATTGATGAAGTTAGAGAGTTAGATAGATGGATAGTAAAAGGATTTAGATAGATAGATAGATAGATAGATAGATAGATAGATAGATAGATAGATAGATATTAAAAGGAATGAGATAGATAGAGAGACAGTAAGATACATGTTGAAATGACAGGGAGATAGATATATAGATAGAAAATAAATAGATAGATAGATGAATGAATATTAAAATGGACAGGATAAAATAAATAGATAGATATAGATGAATGTATAATGAAAGGACAGAGATAGGATAGATAGATATATGGATAGATGTATAATGAAAGGACAGAGATAGATGAATAGATATATAGATAGATATATAATAAAAGGACAGAGATAGATAGATAGATAGATAGATAGATAGATAGATAGATAGATAGATATTAAAAAGACTGAGATAGATAGATAGATAGATAGATAGATAGATAGATAGATAGATAGATAGATTTTAAAATGAGTCAAAAATGTAGAGAGATACATAGATGGATTGTAAAAGGATTAGATAGATAGATAGATAGATAGATAGATAGATAGATAGATAGATAGATATTAAAAGAAGTCATAAAGGTAGAGAGATACATAGATGGATAGTAAAAGGATTAGATAGATAGATAGATAGATAGATAGATAGATAGATAGATAGATAGATAGATAGATATTAAAAGGCCTGCTATAGATAGAGAGATAGATAGATATTAAATGGACTGAGATAAATTGTTAGATAGATAATAAAAGGATATAGATAGTGTTGAAGCTTGGATAAGCATGGAATAATAATAATACAACACAAAATGTACGTAAACAAAATGTGTTGAAACAAGGAAAAGGTACACAATATTTACAGTTAGTTTTGGTATATTTAATATCTTTCTATATATCTATATATCTATCTCAGTCTTTTTAATATGTATCTATTCATCTCTACAATCATTTTAATATCTATATTACTATCTCTCTATCTATAGCAGGCCTTTTAACATTCATCTATATTCATTCATCTATCTGTCTATCTATCTAATCCTTTTCACCATCCATCTATGTATCTCTCTACCTTTATGACACCTTTTAATATCTATATCTATCTATGTCTTTTAATATCTATCTATCTATCTATCTAATCCTTTTTACAATCCATCAATGTATCTCTCTACATTTTTGACTCATTTTAATATCTATCTATCTATCTATCTGTCCTTTTATTATGTATCTATCTATATATCTATCTATTTATCTCAGTCCATTTAATATCTATCTATCTATTTATCTATCTGTCTATCTATCTCCCCTGTCATTTCAATATGTATATTATTGTCTCTCTATCTATCTATCTATCTCAATCCTTTTACTATCCATCTATCTAACTCTCTAACTTCATCAATCCTTTTAATATCTATCTATCTATCTATCTCAGTCTCGTTAATATCTATCTACCTATCTATCTATCTCTGTCCTTTTATTATGTATCTATCTATATATCTATATTTATCTCAGTCCATTTAATATCTATCTATCTATCTAGTCTTTTTAATATCTTTCTATATATCTATGTATCTATCTCAGTCTTTTTAATATCTATCTATTTATCTATCTATCTATCTCCCACAGTCATTTTAATATCTATATTACTATCTCTCTATCTATAGCAGGCCTTTTAATATCTATCTATCTATCTATCTAATCCTTTTACTATTCATCTATGTATCTCTCTACTTTTATGACTCCTTTTAATATCTATCTATCTAATCCTTTTACTATTCATCTATGTATCTCTCTACTTTTATGACTCCTTTTAATATCTATCTATCTAATCCTTTTACTATTCATCTATGTATCTCTCTACTTTTATGACTCCTTTTAATATCTATCTATCTATCTATGTATTTTTAATATCTATCTATCTATCTATGTTTTTTTAATATCTAGATAGATAGATACATAGATAGATAGATAGTCTTTTTAATATCTATCTATCTGAGATAGATACATAGATATATAGAAAGATATTAAAAAGGCTGAGATAGATAGATAGATAGATATAAATAAATGGATACATAATATAAAGGACAGAGATAGATAGATGAGAATGAATATAGATAGAAATAAATAGATATATAGATATTGATATACATAGATGGATGGTAAAAGGATTAGGACAGATAGATAGATAGATAGATAGATAGATAGATAGATAGATAGATATCAAAAACGAAATAGATAGATAGATTAAAAGGTCTGATGAAGGTAGAGAGATAGATGTATATAGTAAAGGATAGATAGATAGATAGATAGATAGATAGATAGATGAATGATAGATAGATATAGATACTAAAATGGCAGAGATGAATAGATAGATAGATAGATATTAAATGGACTGAGATAAATAGTTAGATAGATAGATAATAAAAGGACATAGATAGTCTTTGAAGCTTTGATAGCATGGAATAATAATAATACAACACAAAATGTACGTAAACAAAATGTATTGAAACAAGGAAAAGGTACACAATATTTACAGTTAGTTTTGCTATATTCTTGGGAAGACTGTTCCTGCAGAATGGGTTGACTAAATCACCAGTCCAAGAGTCTCTCGATTCGATCTCTTCTTACTTTTTTCCCCCGTCTTTGGTACCAACCCATATTTATATGGTCGGTACTCCACTTATGTATAATTGGGTGGATCGTACCATCAGATGAATGATAGATAGATATAGATGAATGTTAAAAGGCCCTATAGACAGAGAGATAGATAGTAATATAGATATTAAAATAATTGAGGGAGATAGATAGATAGATAGATATTAAAAGAACATAGATAGATAGATATTAAAAGGAGTCATAAAGGTAGAGAGATACATAGATGGATAGTAAAAGGATTAGATAGATAGATAGATAGATAGATATTAAAAAGACAGAGATAGGTAGATAGATAGATAGATATTAAAAGGTCTGATGAAGGTAGAAAGATAGATGTATATTAAAGGGATAGATAGATAGATAGATATTAAAAGGCCTGCTATAGGTAGATAGTAATATAGATATTAAATGACTGAGGGAGATAGATAGATAGATAGATAGATAGATAGATAGATAGATAGATAGATAGATAGATATAAAAAAGACATAGATAGATAGATAGATAGATAGATAGATATGAAAAGGTCTGATGAAGGTAGAGAGATAGATGTATAGTAAAAGGATAGATAGATAGATAGATAGATAGATAGATAGATAGATAGATAGATAGATAGATAATAAAAGGACATAGATAGTGTTGAAGCTTGGATAAGCATGGAATAATAATAATATCTGTCCATTTAATAATAATATCTCTGTCCATTTAATATCTTTTTTTCTATCTATCTATTTATCTATCTATCTGTCTCAGACCTTTTAATATTTATCTATCTATCTATGTTAATTTAAGATCTATCTATCTATCTATCTATCTCAATCCTTTTACTATCCATCTATCTATTTCTCTACCTTTATCACTCTGTACTCTTTTTAATATCTATCTATCTATCTATCTATCTCCTTTTAATATCTATCTATCTATGTTTTTTAAATATCTATATCTATCTCCCTCAGTCATTTTAATATCTATATTACTATCTATCTATCTATAGCAGGCTTTTTAATATCTATCTATCTATGTCATTTTAATATCTATCTATCTATCTCTCTATCTATCTATCTATCCTTTTACTATACATCTATCTCTCTACCTTCAACAGACCTTTTCATATCTACTAATCTATCTATGTATCTCTGTCTTTTTTATATCTATCTATCTATCTATCTATCTCAGTCCTTTTAGTATCTATCTATCTCAGTCCTTTTAGTATCTATCTATCTATCTATCTCAGTCCTTTTAGTATCTATCTATCTATCTATCTCAGTCCTTTTAGTATCTATCTATCTATCTATCTCAGTCCTTTTAGTATCTATCTATCTATCTATCTCAGTCCTTTTAATATCTATCTATCTATCTATCTATCTCAGTCCTTTTAATATCTATCTGTCTATCTATCTATCTCAGTCCTTTTAATATCTATCTATCTATCTATCTATCTCAGTCCTTTTATCTATCTATCTATCTATCTATCTCAGTCTTTTTAGTATATCTATCTCCTCAGTCATTTTAATATCTATAGTACTATCAATCTATAGCAGGCCATTTAATATCTATCTATCTATCTATCTCTGTATCTATCTATCGCTGTCCTTTTAATATCTATCTATCTATCTATCTATCACCCTCAGTCATTTTAATATCTATATTACAGAGATAGACCTGCTATAAATAGATAGATAGTAATATAGATATTAAAATGATTGAGGTGATAGATAGATAGATAGATAGATAGATAGATAGATAGATAGATATTAAAATGACTGATAAAGGTCGAGAGATAGATAGATAGATAGATAGATAGATAGATAGATAGATAGATAGATATTAAATGGACTGAGATAGATAGATAGATAGATATTAAAAGGGCTGCTATAGATAGACAGATAGTAATATAGATATTAAAATGATTGAGGGAGATAGATAGATAGGTATATAGATAGATAGGTCTTAAATTAACTGAGATAGATAGATAGATATTAAATGGCCTGCTATAGATAGAGAGATAGATAGTACTATAGATATGACTGAGGAGATAGATAGATAGATAGATAGATAGATAGATAGATAGATAGATAGATATTAAAGTATATAGATAGACAGGAGAGATAGATAGTAATATAGATATAAAAATGACTGGGGTGATAGTAGATAGATATTAAAGAACGTAGATAGATGGATAGATAGATGGTAGATAGATAATGGTAGATGAATGTAGATATTAAAAGGGTCATAAAGGTAGAGATACATAGATGGATAGTAAAGAGTTAGATAGATAGATAGATAGATGAATAGATAGATGGATAGATAGATAGATAGATGAATAGATATTAAAAAACACAGAATAGGTAGATAGATAGATAGATAAATAGATAGATAGATAGATAGATATTAAAGGGTCTGATCAACATAGAAAGATAGATGTATATTAAAGGGATAGATGAATGGATGAATGTATGAAAGGTCTGATGAAGGTGGAGAGATAGATGTATATTAAAGGGATAGATGATTGTAGATAGATATGAAAGGTCTACAAATGAAGGTAGAGATAGATGTATAGTAAAGGATAGATAGATAGATGGAGATAGATAGATAGATGAATAGATAGATCTCAAATTAACTGAGATATAGATAGATGGACTGAATAGAGATGATTGTACTATAGATATTAAAACTGAGGAGATAGATAGATAGATAGATATTAGGGACTGAGATATAAATAGTTAGATAGATAATAAAGGACAGAGACAGATGAATGATAGATAATAAAGGACAGACAGATAGATAGATAGATAGATAGATAGATAGATAGATAGATATTAAAAGGATTGAGATAGATAGATAGATAGATAGATAGATAGATAGATAGATAGATATTAAAAGGATAGATAGATAGATAGATAGATAGATAGATAGATAGATAGATAGATAGATAGATAGATAGATAGATAGATAGGATAAATAGATAGATAGATGAATAGATAGATATTAAAGGTCTGAGATAGATAGATAGATATAGATAGATAGATAGATAGATAGATAGATAGATAGATAGATATAAATCGGTCTGAGATAGATAGACAGATAATATATATAGATATATAAAGGTCTGAGATAGATCGAGATAGATAGATAGATAGATGAATAGAGAGATAGATGAATAGATGATAGATAAGGTAGATAGATAGATGATATATAGATAGATGAGTAGATGAGATAGATAGATAGATAGATAGATAAAGGGTCTGGAGATAGATAGATAGATAGATGGATAGATGGATAGATAGATAGATGATAGAAAGGGAGAGAGATAAATGGATAATAAGGGACAGTGATGAATGATAGATAGATGTTAAAAGGGACTAGATAAATAGTTAGATAATAAAAAGGATGGTGATAGATAGATAGATAGATAGATAGATAGATAGATAGATATTAAATTGACAGGGGAACTGAGATAGATAGATAGATATATACATAAATAGATAGATAGATAGATAGATAGATAGATAGATAGATGGACAGATATTAGAAGGTCTGCTATAGGTAGAGATATAGATAGTGATATAGATATTAAAATGATAGATAGATAGATAGATATTAAAAAGGCATAGATAGATAGATAGATAGATAGATAGATAGATAGATAGATAGATAGATAGATATTAAAAGGCCTGCTATATATAAGTAGATAGTAATATGGATATTAAAATGATTGAGGGTGATGGATAGATAGATAGATAGATAGATAGATAGATGAATGAATGGGTAGATGAATATTATAAAAGACTGATTGTTTATATTTTCAATAAAGAAATAAAAAAATGGAAACTATCTTTACTGTCCACGTGACTTTTTCACGTCCCCATTCCTCTTTAAAAGCTGCGTTCTTCTTCCTTTGTTGATTTGCTGTGAATTAAGTTCAGTGACTGAGAATTCGACGACCTTTGTTGGACTGTTTCTGACTCAAACATTTCCTCCATATTGATTGCTTGTTTAACGTTTTTTTGTTAAGTTTATCTTTATTATTTATTTGATTTGTGTTCTTACGAATTTTTTGAAAAGTTTGATTTTATTCTTTCCTTTTTTTCCCTCCTCTTTTAAAAAAGAAAAGAAAAAAAAAAAAAAAAAATTATCTACGTTAATTTTGTTTTATTCGTTTTATTTTAAATTTTCTTTTCTGTCTTTTTCATTTTCTCTTATTTCTCCTTTAATTATATCTCCGTTTTTTTTTTTGTTCTGTAACCCTGTCTGTGCTTCGTTGTTGCGTTGACGTACCGTTAATAATTCTTTCTTTCCTTTTTAATGCCTTTTAAGTTTTTGTGTTTTTCTTTGCCATTTTTTTTTGTATATTTGTCTAATTTTTTTTAAACCTTTATTTTGCCTATTTGTATATATATTTGTTCATTTATTTTGTTCTAACGTTTTCTATTTATTTCTATTGTTTTATTTGTTTTGGTGTCGGCCATCTTGTTAAAGTGTAGCTAGCTCTGTATATTTGCATATTTTCATATTTTCTTTGTTTTCCTTTTTGTCTAAGCGTTTTCTCATTTTTCTTTTCTTTTTATTGTTTCGCCGTTAGGCAAACCTTTTTAATATAATATTTTACGTGTTTTTTATTTTTGATTGTTTGTCTCGCTTCCGGGTGAGATTTGTGTAGTTTTTTTTTTTTTGTTTTTACCTTTCTCCTCCTTCCTGTTAATGCAAAATATGGAAAAAAGGAAAAAAAAAACTCCCTTCCTTTTAGTCATAAAAAAACTCAACAGCAGACTACAGAAAGTCTATAAAGAAGACCTTATTTAACCCCCAAAGAAAAGACCCTCCAGATAAAGACAACATCAATGAATACCCAGCCCTAGATCAAATTTCCCCTAGCAGGGATGACATCGCTGGAAAAAAAGATTCACTTTCTTCAAACAGGTCTGCAATGGCGATAAGAAAAATGAAAAAAATCAAAAAATTACGGTTGCCAATAACCATAAAACCCAAATTGTTTCAAGCCAAGATGGCTCTCGAAGACTGAGGCGATTGCCCTCTTGTTGAAGTCTCCCCCAGTTGTATTATCAATGTGGCGGATTTCTTGGAGCGAGCTAAGATACCTCCTTGTCATGAAGGTGGACTCTTAGAAGACGCCAGGAACTAAGAAAAATTGAAACACGAATAGTGTCAGTTTTGTCGTGGACAAGCGTACGCGCAGAATTTGTCCTCGACAAAGACACAGTAGTAAAATCACTGAGTCCTTGGGTTCAAACCCCTCAAGTTGTGAAAGGGCTGGCTTTCTCATGTGGGACATATTGTTACCCACGCCGGAAGATTGCGTGGCGGCGTCGAGCAGGGGACTTAATCACAAAAGATTTGGTCCTGCGGACCGAATATGACCAAGAAAGGACCCGGGATTCCAATATACGAGGTCCCTCACCTCAGGTTCTCGAGGAACATCTGGCCTACCTGTCTCAATTCGGTGAAATACGGCCGCGTCTTGCGATAGCCTGAGCAGGGGGTGGAGTTTCATTCGTTTAGATCAAAAAAGCCTTCTTCTCCATCCCCAACTGTCTGGTAGTAGGGAAATTGAAATTGCCGGTCATTGTGACCGGCCGGAAAGTATTGTGCTGGAGTGTGCAAAAGACTGGTCACCTTTCTTTCCCTGCCCAGAGAAGAAGGCCTCCTGGAATTCAATCTCCATTGACCAGAATCCCCTCTGACCGAGTCTTTTACCTACCGCCTGCCTGTAATGGGCATGCCAGCTTCTGGGACCGGTAAAGTGAAAACACCGGTTGGTCAAAAGACCACATTCTCCAAAAGAGCCTTCGCCCACTGCTAGTGCAGTTGTGGAGA